GGCGTTATAGTGAAGCAGTTCTGCTTCCTCCTCACAAAGTAATTTAACATTTTTAGTTAATTTCTATCTAGCTAATTTTATATTAATTTCTATTATAGTTAATTTCTAGCTAATTGAATTTCTACAGTAACTCAATGATTTAATGATTTAATTATTAAACATTTGTTCATCTTACTAAGAAGAATTATTTAAAATATGTTAAACTTTTCAAACTACGCGAAGCATGAAACAGCTATTAAAAAAACTTTTTTATTTATAAATAAATCATCTAGAGTTAGTTTTATTGGTTGAATCTTGTTGAACTTTTCAGGGCCGGGGGCCTCATTATTTTAGTGTTGTTTTTTTTTTAGTGCCACAGCGTAAAAATGACTAAAAAAATACAGAATGGTCCTCATGACTATTTCCCCTAACATTGTGAGTCCCGGGGCTATAGCCCTACTACTCCCACCTCACCTCCTCAATCCGCAACCGGAAATCTCATACATTATAATAATAATGATATATATATATATATATATATATATATATATATATATATATATATATATATATATATATATATATATATATATCTATATATATATATATATATAATTTTTCAAAATAAATATTATTTTTGAAATTTTTATACAATTTGGCTTCATTTGAGTACCAGTTTGACATATTTTTGAAAAACTTTTTTTGAAAATATTAGGGACCCATTAAACCTAGTGTTTTTGTATTAGATAAAACACAATTAGGGGGTGGGAACAGGTTTTTCTCAAAAAAGTTGTTTTAAGGGCCACCCAAATATATATATATATATATATTATATATATATATATATATATATATATATATATATATATATATATATATATATATATATATATATATATATATACATCTTTATAGTGTAGTCGAAAGAGTCTTTTAATGTAAAAAAAAGTCTCTTTCGACTACAATTTTAATTACCTCGTCTCTTAAGCTGTACTTAATTGTCATTGAAATGTCAAAGCAATTAAATCAATGCGGAAGTACATTAAATTTTATTGTTTTTTAAAAAATTTTTAAAAAACCGCAATAATAACAACTAGAAAGTTTTTTTTAATTAGTGGTGTTTTTGTTTTTGTTTTATTAAAAAACATTTTTTAAACATGCGTATATGTTGCTACATCGACTATCTTATAGCCTGCTGCTACAAGGGAGTGTTTCTACATCGACTATCATATAGCCTGACTCGCAACGGAGTGCTGCTAAATCAACTGACAAATAGCCTGACTCGCAAGGGAGTGCTGCTACATCGATTGACAAATAGCCTGACTCGCAAGGGAGTGCTGCTACATCGACTGAGGGTTTGGTTTGGGCAGGCAGTCTGTCATTTAAAATATATATATATATATATATATATATATATATATATATATATATATATATATATATATATATATATATATATATATATATATATCAGGCCTTGTGATGAATAAAAATTGCGCGGCGCATAAGCACAACATTTTTGACGTCATTAAATTCTTTTTATTTGCTTTTCATATTTATCGACATTAACTGCACCAATTTACTTAATTACCGCAAAACTACTTTAAATCATTTATGTAGAAATGTTATTATTTAAAAATGTTTTGGAATGTTTCGTTTTTTAAAATGTAAAAACATTTGTTTATTTTTTCGACATTTAACACGTTTTGTCTATACTAAACGAATAAAAAACATTATAACTAAAAAAGATAATAAAATATGCTAATATTTGATTTTTTTCTCAAATTTGTAATTGAAAGTTTTTCAAATAATTATTTTTACTTTTTAAAAAATCAGCGAGTAATAAACTGGAAATTTAGATATTGTACGATTAAAAACTGTGCAATAGCTAATATTTTTACTAGCGATTTTATATATTTATTTATTTATTTTTATTTATTTTCATAAAGCGGTTGATAAGCACAATCACTCGTATTACTAAAAAACTTTAACAAACGTTATGAAAAGATTTTTAATGTTTACAAGGAATTTTATTTCTGGTAAAATAAAATAAAATGTTAGAATAAAAATCTTATAGGTATAAAAGACATATTTCAGCGAAAAAATTATTCTTAAAAATTATTAATAAAAATTATTTGAAAAACTATTGACGTTCTATTTTTCAGCAGCTGTTCTTGAGCATGCTTTCTTGAGTTTCGGTAACTTTTAACAAAAAAGTGATTGTTATTATTTAAGTAATTTTTTTTGAGTTATTTTTTACAAAAATTTTAAAATCTGTACTTTTTTATTGAATCAAGTAGAATACGTTTTGTTATTAATCCTTTTATTTTTTTTATTTGCGCTTACCAATTTTTAAAATGTTTCCTCGAAATTACTCTTAAATACTTTAAATATGTCTTACAGTTAATAAACATTTTTAAACCTATGGAATAATTTTAAAACCTAACAAACCCCCGTAAAATAATTATTTAAGTTAAAAATCTAAAACTAAAAGAAAGTATTTTTGTTCAATTTTATCGACAACTTTGCTATAGCTGAATAATTTTATAAAAATGTTAGCTTAAAAAGATTTAAACTTTTTTTTCAATCTGAATTTTTTCTAATTGTAAATAATGAGCATGTTTAATTGTTTTGTAATTCAAACTTTTATCTCAACTGCATGCAGTTTTTAAAATACTTTAAAATAATCGTAAATTACTTCATTAAAATTCCGCTCAAAAAAAAAATATATATATATATATATTTTAATGAAGAGAAAGGCAGACTGGCAAAGAAATCCAAATTAGTAGGTTTCAAAAATTCAAGATAAACTAGTAGGCCTAACATATCAAACAAAAGAAATAATGACTGAAGAGATTGAGAAAGTCTCTGAAGAAAAGAACAATTTCAATGTAATTGTTGAAGATAGGGTGCAGGTAAAGTATGCTGGTAAAAAGATAAACCATAAGTTCTACAGACTTGTGATTGAAACCTTAGATGAAGGCCTGTACACTGTGAAGTTTCTGACAAAGTCACCATTAGGGCCGTACTATGTTTTTCCTAAAAAGGATGACATTGATGACATTGTGGATTACAACATCTTGAAGAAATTGCCACAGCCTTCCTGCAATAGTTGTGTACAATACAAATTCAGTATTGTTCACAACTATTGTGATTTATAATAGATTGATTTGTGAGACTTGTTTAATCAAGGAAGACTAAATGATTTTTGTGGATCATCCTCACTCAAATATACATAAATGCAGTATAAATGTACACTTTCCACACATTTTGATCACAAAAAGTGTAATTTTGTTTAACTTTGAATAAAATTTCAGAAAAGTACAGTTATTTTTAATTATTTTTAAAACGATTACGTTTTACCATCAGAACTCCTTATTCATTTTACCCCACAGTATACCCACTTTACCCCACACCCTTGGGTAAAATGAGTATATCATGGGGTAAAATAGGAATAGGCCCTATCTCAAAAATTGTAAAATAAAAACATTCTCTCTTAATTGATTTTAATTCTAAAAAGGTTAAATGTAAAATTTTTGAAATAAAAATTCAGTAAAATTAATTACAGTTCAACCAGTGCAACTGCAAACGAAAATCATCTCAATTTTATATCCATTTTACCAGGGTGTTGACCCTATAAAACTTAAATTGATTTGCTTAAATTCAGAACAATGAACTTTGTTTTAAAACTTGTCAGTAACATATTTTAACTCTTTTTTTTTTTTTTGCGTAATTACATTAAGTAATGATAGTATTAATTAAAAACATTAACAAACAAGTGAAAATATTTCTCTTGAATAAAATTTCATTGAAACAGTTAGAAAAATAAAAATAAATTCTGTACAACTATCTAATAAATCCTTCAGCATCGTTACTTTCAACCGCTAAAGCACCTGAACTTTGCAAAACTACTTAAGTTACATCTCTTTCTCTTTTCTACAAGTACTACCATGATCGCTGCTCAAAGGAGCTATCATCTTTAGTTCCATCTTGCTTGACTCATCATTCAGCAAGGCCTCATTCTTTTACTGTATCTGTCCCTGCATGCTTCAAAAACTTTTATTCATCTAGTTTTTTTCTTCACACTTCAACCCTTTGGAACTCTCTCCCGTCCTAATGTTTTCCTGATTCATACAAGCTTCAAGTTTTTATGTCTTCTGTCAACTGTTTCCTTGCTCTATAACTCTATTCTTTTTTTCTAGTAACTCCCAACTTAACAGTGGTTGCCTGCAGCCTTGTTGGAAATGAATCAGAATAATTTTAAAAAAATTTATATGGTCATAAAACGATACAAGAGCTCTCTATTTATCAAATGAGCAAAAGGATCTGGAAGAAGTAGCGGCTTTAAGTATATGAAAGCAACAATAAGTATTTGACAATCATTCATGTAAAATCCCGGCTTATTAAACAGAGAACGAACCAAAAAGTATAAAGTTTCAAAGCTTTTTTGTCAGAAAAATCAGAAATTTTACAATTTCAAGTATTGTCAAGCTATTAAATATCCAAACTGATCCTATAAGCAATCACTGGCTGCTAAAACTCTAGCTTAAAAACTTTGTAATGAAGTGTTTACAAAATAAAGACAACAAGTTTAAGTTCCAAATTTAATGATCACATGCTTTAGTATAGTGCATATAGCAGTACAAAAGTCCACAAAAATCAAAAAAGGTACAAAAAAAGTGACAAAGACTGGTTTAAAAACACTTTCTAGAATTTATCGTCTGATAAACTAGTACAAAAAGTTTATTATTTTGTAACGTTTTTTTGCAGATTTTACATTTATAAAGCAAAAAAAAAAAAAAAGCGTATTTTTTAGTTTTGTTAAAAATGAAATGCTATGACATAGCAAATTATTGAAACTGCTATTATTCATTGTGGAAAACAGCTTTAATAATTATTACTTTTTTAAAAAATTAATATTTTTAAAGGATACCTCTTAAGAAACTACTTATTAAAATCTGGGAGAACCAGATATTTTTTAAAATAAATATCTATATAAAATAATTAAATATTTAGAATACCTTTGGGTTCCATAAGCTTCATTTTTTTCTCAAAAACTTCAACAGCATTTTCAAAATGGATGCCTCTTGCAGTTTCACCTAACTTTTCTGTTTCTTCTGTCAACATTAATATTTTATCTTTATCGTCATCACTAATTGACTTATCATCTTTTTTGATGCTTTTAATTTCATTGATCTCATGATTGACTAAAAACAAATACTCTCATAAAAATTATGTGCACATTTAAAAGAAATTATGCTATTTCAACCATTCAAATATGCATTTAATATTTGCATATATATATATATATATATATATATATATATATATATATATATATATATATATATATATATATATATATATATATATATATATATATATTAGATATAAATTATATATATATATATATACATATATATATATTATATATATATATATATATATATATATATATATATATATATATATATATATTAACATATATTAGATAAAAATTATATATATATACATATATATATATATATGTATATATATATATATATATATATATATATATATATATATATATATATATATATATATATATATGGTAATCCTACAGTTCCGCGGCCTAAAATAATTATATTTTTGCTAGGGGGTTTCGCTACATCGATATAATAAAAGGAAAAAGATTGCTTCCCCATGCCAAACCCTCAGTTGATGTAGCAGCACTTCCTTGTAGCAGCAGGCTATAAGATAGTCGATGTAGCAGCACTCCGTTGCGAGTCAGGCTATAAGAGAGTCGATGTAACAAAACCCCCTGGCAAAAATATAATTATTTTAGGCCGCGTAACTGTAGCTTTACCATATATATATATATATATATATATATATATATATATATATATATATATATATATATATATATATATATATATATATATTAGATATATATAATACATATAATATATATATATAAATTTATATAGAGAGAGGAGGGAGAGAGAGAGAAAAAGAGAGAGAGAAAGAGAGAGAGAGAGAGAGAGAGAGAGAGAGAGATTGAGAGAGAGAACAAAACAAAGTCTGAATACACTGTTCAGTCTAGCATATTTTTCTATTTAAAAAATTTTTTATTGTAGCACTTAAATGATTATTTCCACATTTTAATTTGATGAATCTACTTAATTTGATGAATCTACCACTTGGCAATAAGAAACTATTTTATAGGTTGATTTTTGTTATTTGACACAAATTAAAACTTGTGGTCGTATTGTAATCAAGTTGATTTATTTTTTTAATAAAACTTAATTGCCTATTCCTATCATAAGTGATGAGAATTTCGAATCTGAATATCTGTTCCTTTTATTTTTAGATGGAAAACTACTTAAACAAATAATATTAATAATAATAGTGACAAAGTAGAAGACATTTTCTAAATTTTTTAATTTTTTAATTATTTTTTTTTTACTAGTTTTCGGCTACATAATTTTTTTATTTTTTTATTTCTAAGAAATTTCAAATATTAAATAAAAAAATTTTTTTTTGAAAAAAAGCCTAAAACTTTCTTAAATAAAGTTTACTTTTTTACATATATATAATTATTTTATCACTTTTTATTTTTTTTATTTTAAAAAATCTTATATTTTACTTTTACGTTTTTATTACTTTATTAATAATTATTTTATTAATACTTTTTGCTATTTTTGCTATTATTATTACTTAAAACGTACCCGTAAACTTAATTTTTTTAGCCGGTCAAGAGTTGCTAATTCCGGTGAAAAAAAAATTATGAGATGACTACTGTGTACGCGTATATATCTAAACTAACTAAAAAGTTTAAATAAATTTTGTATAAATTTCAAATCTATTCTAATATAAAATATGCTTTAAAAAACCTATAAAAAAAAGCCACATACCTATGATAAATTTGCGCTCTATTTAGTTAAGCTACTCAATTATTCAGTATACAATTAGCGACAAGTATATTTACGGTTAAGGTGAAACAATTGACAGTAGTTTAAATACGAGCCGCAACAACTTGGTAAAATGTGCGATAATGTCATCAGACTAGCAACCGCATCTTTGCAACAACGAGGTCAATCTCGTGTATTTTTCTACGGTACACAAAGTAGAGATTGTTACAAACTTTTTATTACCTAGTTAAGCCATAAGCTTCGGTGAATTGAAAAACATTGTTAGTTACATGCAAGAAGTAGTAGCAAAGTTTTTCAGCGCACTGCAAAGCAAATTCATCAAAGTAGACATTAATGAAAATATCTAATGACAATTTTGGAATTTTAATGAAATATGTTTTTCTAGTGACCTAAGTAAGCAACACATTTGCAGATGTGATGCTAAACAACAATGAAAAAACTAATTAAACAGTTAGAACCAATGCTTTTATTTTTTTAACTAAGTGTTTTTTTCATTTTTAACTAAGTTTTGTTTTCTTTTTTGGCAGAGTGTTCTTTTCTTTTTAACTAAGTGTTTCTTTCTTTTTTTAAATTATTGTTTTTTCAATTACACATTGCTTTGCATATTTTATTTTTCCTAAATTTAAGGGTAGAATAAAATACAGCTAGCACAACAAAATAAAAAGTTAAAAAAAAAAAAGTGTTTAATTTAGTACTTTGTCACATGCCCTTTATTTTAATAACTAGATGCATACGTTTCGGCATGCTGTCAGTGAGTTTCCGACAGTGTTGGGTTAATGTCATTTGGTTATACTCGAACGATCTCCTTTTTTTATTCTGGTCATTATTGTTTTTTATTCAATTGTCTGGCAGTTAGCCGTGGGTTTTTTTTTTTTTTTTTTTTTTTTTTCTATCAATTCTGGACAGAAATTATTATTCATATTTCAACGCCTTTGCCTAAAACAAAGCTTTACTTTTTTACTTAATTACTGTCTAAATACAAAATGGTAACTTATTATTCTTATTATAAATTGTATTTTTTTCTAAAACGGAATTTAAAATCACTATTTTTAGTTTTCTGACATGCGCAAATCATAAAATTCCAATAACAAAAATTCTTTTTATTAACTAGAAAATTTTACCTAAAGAGAGATAAATATAAAAAGTGTGTAATATTTACTAACTAAACAAAAATAAAAAAAAAAGAAACAAAAATAAAAAACAACAAAGATAAAAGTAAACGGCCATTTGTTTTTTAAGTTAACTTGCAAACTGTTTTATTGGTTCCCAAGTCAAGTGGGAGCATGATGTACTATCGAGCCAAACTTCAATAATTCTTTTTTTTTTCTTGATACAATTCAAAAAAAAATGATAGTTACTATTAACTACGGAACGAGACTAAAAGCCGACTAAACCCCCATACAAAAAAGAATGGAAAAAACAAAGGATAGAAAAAGTCATCTAAACGTATCAGAATCGTTGAACTACTGGTATCGCTAATCCGTAAATGTTTATGTTATAAATAACATCACGATATTGCAAAAAGAATAGAAAAAAGGTACAATTTTTTCTAACTGTCATAATACACAATGTAGATTTTTAAGATTATTATAAAATCATTATACCACATACAGGGCCGTCCTGAACGGGGGTGTAGGGGGTGCATATATGCATTTGGGTTGGCACATTTGCATATTTAGCATTTGAGTTTTGAAGTATAGTTGGCAAACGACAAATATCGAAGTTTTTTTTCTTTTCTTTTTCTTTTTTTTTTTTTTTTTTTTTGGGTTTCCAGTGGGCAAAAATATATAAAATACGATACCCCCTCATGAGAGACCTCTTCGGGATGGCTCTGACCACAATAGTCGGTTAAATATAATTGCTTACGTTACATTTTAACTACTTAAACTGTATTATATAAAAATACACATATTTATTATATTTTACTGATGTCGTTTATTTTTACCAAGTATTAAAGTGAAAGATATCAAAGTTTTATTTCTTTTAGTAATTGATAACATAGAATACCTCAAAATTATGTGGATTCAGTCTATTTTAGTTACAAATATTACCTCGTAACTCTGTGGATCCAGTCAAGTTTTTTGTGAAGAATACCTTGTAACTCTTTGGATTCAATCCATTTTTTGTGAAGAACACCAACTTTTTACAAAAAATGGAATGTTAAAATACAACTTTTTATTTTTATTACCAAATCAAACGTATTTTAAATATTGATCAGTTAAAAACAAAAAAAGATATGAAATTTTAAAACTTCATTTTTTACAATTGTTAATTTCCTGTAAAATTACAATTAATGAGCTTAATACTCATTATTTACAATATGAAAGCTATTTACAATAATTTATAATGTATTGTTAGAAATGAGTTAAGTTTTTTATAATTTAAGATCTTATTTAAGAATCATTTTAATAAAATCAAATTTGTACTATTTAATTTTTTAATATACTTATTATTATTTTAAATAATATTTTTAAATAATAAAACACTTATTATTTAGCTGATATTTTTAAATAATAAAATACTTATTATTTAGCTGATATTTTTAAATAATAAAAATAAAAAGTTCGTACTCAATAATAACGCTGTTCAAATTCACTCTCTATTTATACTCATTTAATTGTATCCTATACCAGAGTGGGCACTCCATAGGGTTGTTAGTTTTTCATTATTATAAAGAGCCAAATAGTAGATAATTGAGATTCTCAATAATCAAGTTGAGGCTCAGCCCTTTTGTTATGTCCTGAGTAAGAACCGCGTGTTGTAAGTTTAGTTTTCAGGAGTTTTATTGTGGTTCAACAACGTGTTAAATTATGTATGAAGAACGTTTATATATTTAGATTGAATTACATTATATTATTATTAAACATTGAAGTTTATTTTGTTACGAAAGACATAATGACCTCTTACCTTAAGATTTTACACGAATTATTTTATTTACTTAACTATTCAAGCGTATTCAAATTTTATTTAACTAGTATGATGACATATTCATATAACAGAAAATACATTTAAGAAGAAAAAAAAGGACGAGTAACTATTTTAATAATACAGTTCCAAGAACAATTAATAAAAGCGTTCGGTCATCTTATAAAAGTTTGTAAATTTATTTACAAGTTATTAAAATTAGTTAAAGTTGTTCTGTAAAATGTTCATTGGTCAGGTAGCAACTGTATTTTGATTTCACAAATTTCATTGTGGAATATAAAGATTCACAACAATAATTTGTATAAAAAATGAGACGTCAAGGAGCTTTTTTAAAATTAGATATTTTGATCTGTCACGAGTTTCTA